TAGACTGGTTTCGTGTTACCCAATAATGAAACAAATACGGAAATATGAAATGTGCCAGCAGTTAGCCCAGAGAGGTCAGTTGCCATTCAGTTACTTCTTTTGCTCAAATCATCCTCAAAGAGGAAGTTTCAAGAGAGGAAAGACATGGGGACTGAGCAACGAGGATATCAGAGAAATCCCATGTTGTTCCCAGTCCTGTTGTGCGCGAAGCCCTCCACGACAAGCTGCCGTCAGCTGAAGGACAATACAGCAGGCTCTCTTCAAACGAGGCTGCTGTCATTAGGAAACCTCAAGGCTGATGGGGAGGAGGTTGGCCCTAACTGTTCAGTCTCTATGGGGCTCATCTTGCAGAGTAGATGAGAAGGGAGGGGTGGCTCCCAGGGCTTACTCAGTCAGCCAGACTCTTCTTAAAAGAGCATTACATCTGACACTGGCTGCTCCAAAAATGGCACTTCCTAGGGGTGCCTGGCAAATAACAGTTTGCTCAGTAAGTATTTATTTAATGGGTGGATGAAATAGGCCTCCACTAGAATGTCCTGGAGAATTGTGCTGAGAATACCGGGGCAGCCTCAGAGCTGTGACTGACTAGTGGAAATGGCAACTTAAGGGAAGACTTTGACTTTGGGTGATGGGATATATAGATGATGCATCATAGAATGGTACACTTGAAACCTATATAACCTTATTAACCAATGTCACCTCTAGAAATTGAACTAAAAAATAAAAAAAGGGAAGAAAACAAATAGAATTAGAACCCTGGGGAAAAAAGACTAACTCTTTGCCACATCAGGATTTCCTTCTTTAGTGCAATGGGAGTATCACCTCAAATCACAGACTTGTATTCTCAGAACCTAAATGTGGAAATGGCAAGGAGAAAATAGAGCAAACAGGAAACAGTTGATAAAGAGAAAAAGAATTAGGAACATTGGGAAGGAAAAGTATGAATAGAAGAAAAAAATTAAATGACTAAAGGCAGCCAAATTCTGGCCTTGGTTTTAATGGGAATATGCAGAATTTCACATGGGCCTTCTGTTTTTACCCACAAGATTAATTGGAGTCAAGAAACCACTATGGTCTTATTTTTGTGGCCAGGACACAAAAAATCCTGATGGAAAAAACAGTCTTTGAAGAGAAGAAGCTGACAAAGCAACTCTGACAACACCAGAGTAGGAATCAACAGTTCAGAAAGAAAATATTGTCGTTTTGTTTGACTGATACCCCCATGATTTTCTAGGACCAAGTTTATTCCAGGGTCTATAAGAGTCATAGCACTGTGATCCACTTAGTGATTGCTTCACTGTGAGTTTTCAGATTTGTTTCCTAGATTCTTATTTAAAATAAGAAAAGAAGTGGTCCCTGCAAACACAGTCAGACTCCCCCCAACACCATACATACACACACCATTTCAGACCAGAGGGGAAATACGGTAGAAGGAAACACCTGGACCAGCTCCAAGCCCACACAGGACTAAATCTCAGGCCTGAATCATGGCGTGGCTTTGTGTGAGATGATGCCAGAAGGTTGCATGTGCTCAAATTGAGAAAGAAAGCAAACATGGGACTTCCCTCTTGCCTCTTTTTGGGGAAGTGAAATTGCTTTTCTGCAACACAGATGGATACCTTTTGTAGAAAAGTTGACTTTTTCTTTTAGAGACCATAGTGCAATTTTTAGACAAGGGCCCTTGAATGTGGCCATCTAGAGAATTTATGTGATTGCATATGCTCTTCAGTACAAGAAAAAAGTCGAGGAAATTGCTGGTGAGCAGAGAAAAGCAAGAAAGAAGTGAGGGTGTAAGGCTCTGGTCAATGGGTCAAACTCACGCGGGCTGCTTCCTCACCCTTGACCATGATGAGCAGCAATGGCTGGGGCTGGCATGCAAATTTAAGGTGAGCTGAAATTCCCGTCACTTGCACTTCTCTTTTCATTGTCTCCTGGGAACTGAAAAGAGAACTTCCTTGAGCTCAGCAATCGCAGTTATAGGCTTTGGATCATTTCAGGTAATGATCCAAATGGAAATTCCAGAAATAACTTCTTTCATTTTTTAAATGTGTGTATGTTAGTTAGTTTCCTCAGTATAAAAGTCATGATTAGTCAGTACCCACCGCTGTGTTTGGTACTTAGTAGACTCTTAATAAAAATTTGTCAAATAAGTAAAGACACACTCACTGTGGAAAACTCAAAAAATACAGAAAAGAGGAAAAAATTAAATAATGTGTGCAGCTATAAACTAAAATTAATTTTAGACTGTAATAAAGAATTAAAAGCGTTTGTTTCAGGCAAAAAGAGCTGTAGCCTGGGAGACAGTCTACAGCTAAACGGGTACAGGTACAGTCTAAACAATTTAAATTGTGTTCCACTGAGACAAAGAGGGGGTCACCTTTTATAGCAAAAGATCTCCTTTTTGTCAATTAGGTCCATTTATGTAAATGAGGTATCCAAATTATATAGTTCTGATTGGTCTAAATCATGCAGTTTCGATTGGCTGGTACAGATGCAAATGACTTGCATAGTTCCAATTGGATATAACTCGCATAGTTCTAATTGGACTAGCATGTCTCAATCCAGTGGCAGGAAGACAAAATCAAGGCTTCCATGCAGCGGTTGACTCAGATGGCATAAATATGTGGGGCAGAGTGTGGGAAGCCAAAGGTCCAGTCTGAGTTTCTTCCTGGAGTACTGAGTACATGGGAAGCCCCTGTCGGTAAATGGCCACTAGACTCTATTATTCTAAAATAATAGGGATTTTCTAAATTGGGGTTTTCATGGGGAGTCCTACTGAGCAGATACACACCTTCTGGGGGACCATATCAAATTATTTTTTCTTCTCAGGGTCCACAGAACTTACAAACAGATATAACTACTGTCAAGGGGTTGTTGTATATCCTTCTACTATATATATATGTTTATACATAGTGGAGGTCATATATATATATAGATATCATGCTTTTTTCATTTAACATCATGGCATAAGAATTCTCATGTTATTAAAATTGTTTGAATATTTAACTATGATAACTGTAAAATATTTTGTCATAGGGATGCAATATAATTTCACACTTGTTGGCTCTTTTAGCTATTTTTAATTCTCGCTATGATAAAAATGAAGAAGGGTGTCCAAAAATATGATAATGGTTGGGTGTTTCAGGACATAGGAACACCTGAACATAGAATTATTGATATTCACCTTGCTTATATTCTCACCACAGAAGAGTCAGTTCTCAATGGGATTTATTAAAGGGAAAATAAAAAGTAGGAAATTTGTTAGCATTTCTTGAAAGCTCTCTAAGAGTTTTCTGAACCTGATTAAATAACCCTGTAAACAGTTTCAAGAAAAGTGTGTGGATATTTCAACAGACTTATTAAAAGTACGAAAGGACATTCAACTCTAATTTTTCTAATTCTTGGATTATTCTACTGAGCTATAAATTTATAACCCATTTGTAAATTAACCAGAACATCCTGTGCAGAGATTTGCTTCTCTAGGCAAGTACATACTGGACACTGGTTCATAAATTAATCCTTCCTGGGTGTAAGTGAATTCCCCCAAAGCATGATAACATAGCCATGAATAGATCCACAATGTCTATTTCTGGGTATACAGAACACAATACAATTGTTATTTTAATAACAACTGGTTTGTTCACCCTGTGAAAATAGGCAATTGGCCTCATAATTTCTGAGAACACTTTCAGTTGCATCTGTGGCAATCTGAAGTAATTCTGATTTTTGAAACAGTCTTTCCAGGTGCATACAGATGCTATAGTGATACTTATAAACTGGAGAACAACTTTTTCAACCTTGGCACCATCCATTTCATGGTCTGATTTGAGGAGCTACGAAAGTACATTGGGAAGTCCATTAACTCCTCTGGATTCCTTGGCTACCACTAAATGTACTAAGATGCATGCTAGTCATCCAAAGAGTTGACAGGCTTGGTTAACCCTGGTTCTCCATCGATGAACCTGGAAACACTCTTCTAAATTCTGGGCTCTAATGCCCTAGCATTAGTACACTAAAAAAAAAAACTGTGAAATTATGTTCTAATAATATAACAAATGAATCGCCATTTAAAAAAAATTGAGTAATGAAGAGCCACATTCTTTTTTATGCAATTATACTATTTACATGCACTTAGCAATGGAATGATAGGTATAAGAGCAGGTACCAAATCATTGCCAGGCACACACACGTGTGGTGTATAGCTGTGTACATACAAGTATTCTATGGCCACTGTCTGCTTTTGCTAAATCAAAGTCTAGATTATAGTGTGATTTGCTCTTTGTTTAAACACTGCTATATGAAAAGAAATAAGAATGCAGGGACCCCTCACCTTCACTCTGAATGCTAAAGATAATGCAAACCGAGGTTCCCAGCTTACAGTAAGTGGAATCCTCTTCAGATCCCTCCAACTCCACCCCACATAGGGCTACCTCCAAAGCCCAGACTACTAGGATTTATCACAATTAACCCCCACAGGACTGTGTCTAAGATTTTCACTCCTTTCTTCTGTGGGAACAACCCTCACCCTCAGGTGAAGGGAAAACCCAGGCCTTGACCTACCTCTAGCCTACGTGTGATAGAGGCAAGGTGTCTCAGCAAGAATGCTGTTGCTATTTATGTCTGCATTTACAGTAGGAAGAAACTATTATTGGAGTTCCAGGAAAGAACAGTGAGGAAAAAGTTGAAGCATCAAGAGAGTGAATAGAAAGCAAGACCAAAGCTTGCTTTCATAGGTGGAGAGCTCGTGGGGTGGGAACGGTGAGGTGTATGGTGCACTTCTTTTGGGTACCCTCTACTGCTGCAGTGTAACCAGCTCAGGGGCAGTGGGGGACGGGTAGGGTAGTTAAATGTTAAGGACACCTTGTACACCATAATTTTTCAGAAATCCTGACAGACCATACTATTCCATCAACTCTCATTTCCCCATTTTGCAATTAGATTAGTCTTAAGAGGAACTGGTGACTTTAGGAGAACTATGTTTTTTTTGCAGTTTCAGCAACTGCTTTCTTTCCTATCGGTTCAGTTTGCACAGAGCTCGCTGGCTGCTACATAGGGCTGGCTTGTGGCTGCGGCTGTCTGAACCATGAACAGCTTTAGGGGTACCATCTTCCTCTGGGCAGTGGTAACATGGGCTAAAATGGGTGAACTTCTGGGAGAGACAGATGAGGCTGGATCTCAAACATGCAAGAATGCCTTAAAACTGCCAGTTCTGGAAGTCTTACCAGGAGGGGGTTGGGATAATCTGCGGAATGTGGACATGGGACAGGTGATGGACTTGACTTACACCAACTGCAGGACCACAGAGGATGGACACTACATCATCCCCAATGAAATCTTCACCATCCCCCAGAAACAGAGCAACCTGGAGATGAACTCAGAAATCCTGGAGTCCTGGGTCAATTACCAGAGCAGCACTTCCAACTCTATCAACACGGAGCTCTCCTCCCTTTTTTCCAAAGTCAACGGCAAGTTCTCCCTGGACTTCCAGAAGATGAAGACTCTTCAAGTGAAGGACCACGCTATAACCACTCAGGTTCAGGTAAGAAACCTGATCTACACAGTCAAAATCAACCCAGTTTCAAAACTAAACTGGGGGTTTAAGAAGTTGCTCATGGACATCTCTGACCGTCTGGAGAACAACCAGACGCGGATGGCCACCTACTTGGCAGAGCTCCTGGTCCTCAACTATGGCACCCATGTTGTCACCAGTGTGGATGCCGGGGCGGTTCTCATCCAGGAGGACCACATCAGGTCCTCTTTCCTCCAGGACAGCCAGAGCAGCCATAGTGCTGTGACTGCATCTGCCGGAGCTGTCTTTTTTGATGTTGTGAACTTCAAATTTGAGGAGAACTACACCTCACAGAATGCCTTCACCAAGAGCTACCTTGCCAACAGAACCAACTCCAGGGTGCAAAGCATTGGAGGGGTTCCTTTTTACCCAGGCATCACCCTGCAGACCTGGCAACAGGGCATCACCAACAACCTGGTGGCCATAGACCGCACGGGCCTGCCTCTGCATTTCTTCATCAACCCTGACATGCTGCCTGACTTGCCGGGGCCCTTGGTGAAGAAGTTGTCTAAGACGGTGGAAACTGCTGTGAGACGCTACTACACCTTCAACACCTACCCTGGATGCACAGATCTCAATTCACCCAACTTCAATTTTCAGGCCAACACTGATGACGGCTCTTGCGAGGGGAAAATGACCAACTTCTCCTTTGGTGGGGTTTATCAGGAGTGTACCCAGCTGTCAGGGAATGGGGCTGTCCAAGTCTGTCAAAACTTGCAGCAGAAGAACCCACTCACTGGTGATTTCTCCTGCCCCTCTGGCTACTCCCCAGTACATCTGCTAACCCAGATCCACGAGGAGGGTTACAATGGCCTGGAGTGTGTACGGAAGTGCACCCTCCTTGTCTTCTGCAAGACAGTGTGTGAAGATGTATTCCGAGTGGCAAAGGCTGAATTTAAGGCTTTTTGGTGTGTGGCCAGTGACCAAGTACCAGAATACTCAGGACTACTTTTCGGGGGCCTCTTCAGCGGTAAGAGCATTAACCCTTTGACAAATGCACAGTCATGTCCAGCTGGTTACTTTCCATTAAGACTCTTTGAAAGCCTCAAGGTATGTGCCTCTCAGGACTATGAGCTGGGGTATAGGTTTTCGGTCCCCTTCGGTGGGTTCTTTAGCTGTGCGGTTGGGAACCCCTTGGTGGATTCTGCCATATCCAAAGACTTAGGGGCACCTGCTCTGAAAAAGTGCCCTGGGGGTTTCAGCCAACACCTGGCCTTCATCAGCGATGGATGCCAAGTGTCCTACTGTGTCAAGTCTGGGGTCTTTACAGGAGGGGCTCTGCCCCCTGCCAGGCTCCCACCTTATACCCGTCCACCCCTCATGAGTCAGGCTGCCACCAACACTGTGATAGTGACTAATACTGAGACTTCAAGCTCCTGGATTAAAGACTCCCAGACCAACCAGTGGAGGCTGGGAGAGCCAGTAGAGCTGCGCCGGGCCATGAAGGTCATCCATGGGAACGGCGGTCTGTCAGGGGGAGAGGCCGCTGGCGTCACAGTGGGGGTCACCACCGTCCTAGCAGTTCTCATCGCCCTGGTCATCTATCGCACTCGGAAGTACAAGAAGAGGGGATACCAGGTGATCGAGGATGAGAGGCAGAGTGTGGCTCCTGGCGCTGCCGAGACAGGGGACACCCCTGACCAAGAGCAGGAGCGATGTCCAGCCTAAACCTGTCCCAGAACGCTGTTTCACTTCTGGGCAGAGCTTCAAGCATGTCCTTCATTCCTTCTCTCTCCACTTCTGCTTCCTAACTATTGAAGAGGCAAGTGCAGTCAAAATCAGGTGTAACTTGGTGACTTCTTTATGTTCCCGGGCCAGGGCATTAGTACAGCTACGCAGACAACTCTGAGGTAGGGGGTGGGGAGAAGTTGTGGCTTGTTAAGCAAGAGTCTTCCTGGGAATAAAAAATGAAGAGGTATCTTTTCTCTATGTGAACCATGAGTTATTTTCACCCGACTGCAGATGTGTGACAGGAGGAGGGGGAATGTTAGCTTTTGGGTTTGGAGATGATGTGTTTGATCTGAGGTTGGCCATGGTTTCCAGTTCATGAGCTGTAAGAATTTCTGCCTCGAAAGCTTACCCTCCAACTGTTTTGTTTCCTAAAGCTGTCTGGATCTCCTCTTCCTGGGGGCTGACGGAACCCCAGAAGACACAGAAGTCCTTCGTGGCCACAGCTTTTCAGTTTGAGGGCTTAGTGTTGATGGCCTGTGTCATTTCCTCTGGGTCATCTCAACATCCTCTGAACAAAAAATGTTGTTTATACCAAGCCCAGGTTTTGCAGCTTCCCCAAATTTAAGGCTCACTCAGACCACCCATGGACTTTGGCCTAATTCATAAAGTTCTCAGAAAATATTTTACCTTATAAAGTTCTATTAGGATGTCAAGGGAGAAAGGGTAATTTGTAGAAAAGCAGTGAGTGAGGAAAGGGTAAAAAGCAGAAAAGAGTCTGGTGCTCAGGGGGAATTGGAATTCTTACCTACGACCAGCTACCTGGCTCCTTTCTCTTAGCTCGTCATAAATGGGACAAGGAAAAAAGTGCACCGACTTGAATAGGTCAAGCATTGCAGTTTCTTGGTCCGAGTTACCAAAGTAGAACCCCTTCCTCTTCCATGAGTGGACCCTATCCTCCCTGACTCCTATCATGCGCACCCTCCTGCCCCCCGACATTCCAACAAGAAGTCTACATTTTTCTGGGGATGGGAAACAAGAAATAAAACAAGAAGTTGAAGTAAGCCTACACCTAGGTTTTATATTCTCCTGGAAACCAAACGGCACCAACACCAGTTATGTGCCTAACCTGTCCTTTTTCCCCAACAGAAAGGGGGCTAGCACGATCAAATCCATGCTTTTAAATGAAATGAAAGAGGTGTCAGCTGGCCTCCGGCAGGGAGCTGACAAGAGGCACAACTGTCACCTGGCACTGGGGTTGCCCGGTGTTAACACCAAGCTCACCCAAGCTGTAATAACCAGCGTGAATCTATTGATGCTCCTTCAAACCGTTTTGAAAAGTTATATATGTCTTACCCATTTGAATGTCATTAGGGAGTTATGTTCTGTGAAGGACAATTTGTCCTCTCCTGGTTCACATTCACAGTCAAGAGCTGAGGTTTACAAAAGGTCTTTCTTCTGAGGAGCATGGAGCACCCCAGCCTGGGGGATGATGGGAAGGGGCCCCCCTCACCTCCCGCTGTGATGAAGAACATGGCAGGACTGCAGCCCCTCTCCCCGGCTGCCCAGCCAGGGACACCAATTTCTCCAACCCCTTCACTTAACCCCGCCTCTTAAGCATCAAAATGTTTCTCTAAACCTCCTGGTGTTTTGTGGGTGAGTGTCAGCCAAGTTAACCACTCTTCTGCAAATACTGACTTTCCCACGAATTCTTTAAATATTACTGAGTCAGAGAGACAAAGTAGGACTGTTGGCTTCTAGACTTTTCATGTGCGAACTGCTCATTGAAATGAAAAGGTCCAGACTTATATTTTGACTAACAAAACTGTGCATTTAAAACACATACGTAAGGACTACTGCGTCCAACTGTCTACCCAGAGGAAATCGGAACAGGGGGTTGGCAGTGTGCAAGTCAGCACCCAGAAGAGAGAGCTCCTAGGCCTTGCTTTCCTGGCTGGTGGGCTCAGGCTGGGGTCTTCAGGGAGGCCAATCCGGCTTCCAGGAAAACCACACCCTGTGGACTCTCAGAAGGGGGCCCCACTTAAGGAACAAAGGAGGCTTTACGATTACAGTTCATTCTTGTGTTCTCGTGAATATCAGGATGACTAATATTATAAACATTTACTTGAAAAACGACAGCTTGTAAGCTATTGAAACATACACTCTAATGTGGTCAGGTGGAGGGAGCTTAAAGTGAACATCCAGGATTTTTAAGAAGGTCTGTTCCCCACAGGTTCATTTACTTATTTCCCCTGTCATGGGGTCGGTTTTCTTTAGAGGAACAAGAAGTCAAGCCAGGTCCCTTGGTCAAATGTGTGGCTGAAAACGATGTGAAAAGCATAGGAAAAAGGGACTCCCCCAACCCCACCCAGCAGAAGGACTTGTGGTTGCTTAGAGGCTCAGGGAGGTACCCCAATGTCTCCTGATAGGTGCCCTGACCTACAGAAAGCAGAAGGTTGACAATTTGTGGTTGTTCATTTGCCATTTATTGTTCTGCACATACACCTCATGAGCACCAGGTGGCGATGTCCTCTCGCAGAGCAACACCAGGGACTTCAAAGCACACCAGTTATAAAGATTTACATCGGGACATTCACCTGCCCTCTCCCAGAAACCCACCCCCACTCAAATGCCAGTGACCACAGACAAGGAAAGTGGACAGGACCCTTTCTTGTACCACGTGGGGCCTTTCCCCCTGATCTTCTCATGCACACAAACAGTGCAATACCAGAACGAGTACTTTGGACCAAGTCTAAAACCACAGAGGGAAGGGATAAAACATAAAGCACACACAACCACATATACACGATTAATCCTTAAGGAATGAGCATCTGACAGGGTCTGTCATCCCTGCAGACTCAGGGAGGGAGGACCCGGGCTGCTGGTGCTAAGATGAAAGGAAAGGCAGGGAAGCCCCTGCGTGGGCCAGGGAGCTCAGCAGGGCTTCTGGTGGGGACACTCCTGCCTCGCAGTGGTGGCTGCGCAGGACCTCTGCCGGCAGGGTTGCCACTGGACCTGAGACTGCACCTTTCCAAGTTGGCTCAAGAGAAAGAGCAAAGGAATGCCTTCTGCCTTGCCTGGCTGGCACCATGTCAGAAGGGAAGTTCAAGATTCTTTCTGCCCAGACGTCCCACCAGAAGATGAGGATGAGGTAGCCCCTGCTGAGCATCCTCTGAGAGGAAGGAATGGGGCGCAGACACAACCAACATCCCTGGGAGAGGCTTGGAGCCCTGACGACTTGCTCCCGAAGTGGTGTTGCCCTGGCGTACAGCCTGCCTTGTCACTCTCTGGGTCCCCTTTCCCGCCCGTAACTCCCTCTGCCTGCTGCAGGAAATCAGCTTCTCCCCGCTGCCCCTGGCCAGTTGTCAGAGCTTGTCTTCTTTCTTCCCCACCCTCTACTGCACAGTTGTGTTTTTACCCACTGACCCTCCGTCTGATTCCTCATCCCTGTGGGTGACAAGCCCAGCAGAGACTTGATGAGGGTGAAGGTGGAGACGGTAGTGGCCTACGGTGACTCACTGCTGATCCCCGGTACACGGTAGCCTGGCAAGGGCATCGGCGTGACATTAAACACCGCAGGGGTGTCTCTTCCCTTGAGTTCGGATGTTTCTTTCCCTACTGTGGCAGGAAATCACTCTGCGGTGCAGCAAGCTCAGGACCCACCTCCTGGTTTGCTGGTGAGATAAACCCACTGATGGGAGAGACGGGAACCAAGATGGCAGACGCAATTGTTCCTGTCCCAGCTCCCTCTGCCGGAGCCAGTGAACGTCCCTACAGCCATTTGGAAAAGAAGGAGAGGCTCAGCACCAGCGGCACGTCCCCCAAGAACTGGGTGATGCTCAGGTAAACCCACCGGTCACACGAACAGCAAAACAGCTGCAGACCCGAGATCAAGCAGCTTTGAAGCCGGCTCTCAGGAGACCTTGGTTTCCGGTTCTCATTGAAGTACCATTTTTGAAGGTTCTTTTGTTTCCATTTTTCTAGCATCAAAAACCTTCCAAATATTATGAAATATATATGCATATATATATACGTCAAACCCCCAAAACATGAGGTATATAATTCAAATTAGTATCCACAGGAACCTCCCCCAAACATACAGTTCAAAGAACCCACTTTCAAAGGGGGAATTGGGTTTCCCTTCTTGATACCCCTTCTCTCCTCCCTGACCCTCAATTCATTCCTTAGCAGGAGCCAAAGGCAAGGGGAATGACGGGGAGGAGATAGGCAGGGTCTTGGGGCACAGCCCAGGCAGATGCTGGACTAGACCGTAAGGTAGTCCTAACCCTGGTGGGTGAGCTAACTGGTCTCCCTCCACATTCTAGGTCAGTCTGCAACAGAAGAGGGAGAGGAGAGGCCCAGCACCACCTCTGGGCTCTAATTAACAAATTTGCATCGACTCAGATCGAAGCTCTCAGAAAAACAAGGCTGGATGGAGATTGGCTGCAATCCAATGTTGAAAGACGCAGAAAAAGGGGTCAGTCCAGCCCTCACCTTACACATCTCCCCAAGCACAGTTCTGACTTGGTCAGGGTCCAAGTTTACTATGGCAGGGGTTGGCAGAGGGTGGGTGAAGCCAAGGGGCCACCGTCTGGCTCTCTGATCCTCATCGGAACTAGGGTTCGACATCCAGCAAAACAGACTGTGAGAACACAATGGGATTCTTCTCCACCAGCGGCGTGCACATGCACACACGCGTGCTCACACCCACACACACGCACATGCACAGGAGGCACAGAGCCCAGCACGGGCTCTGTTCACAGTGACCTGATGAAACTCATGGAATCTTTGAGCTGGTCTGAGATGCGTTGGGAAGAAGGCCACGGGCTCCTCTCCCTGAGGACAGTGCAGAGGCTGAGTGGGATGCCGGCTCCGGTCTGACCACCGAGTGGCTGGAGCATCATGGGATGCCACCCAGAGAGCAACCCCAAGCCCATCCATCTGCGTGAGAGAAGCAAATGCCTCTGTGGGCAGGTCAATGGTGAGAGGAGGAAGGAAGTCCCAGAGAAGCCATGGACTCATGAGAGCCGAGTGTGCTCCCAGAGGCCTTTGTTTCCCTACCCTCTTGGCAAGAAGGGCTTCCTCGCTCTACACCGAGGCATTGATTTCTGATGTCACAGCAGTTTAGTGGTTCACCCCTTTGTCCCCCAACCTTGCACAGTGAGAACTCCTCGCCTCCAGGGGAGGAGAGAAAAGCGGAAACTCCACATTTGGAAGTGGAAGCAGCAAGAAGCCAGTGGAGGCAATGGACCTCAGGCTGCACGAGGCCAGGGTACGGAGTTACCGTGCACTGCCGGTACCCTAAGTGTGCTGAGCGTGCCCCCACTTAACAGGGTGAGGGGCGGCGTTCTTGCCTACCCAGCACCAAAAACTCCATAGGAACAGACCAGGATGGCCTTCGTCCCGTGTCCCTTTTGTGATGGACGAGGCTTATGAATGATGTCCCCTTACTCAGTCTGGCTGCCCCCTGTTGCTGGGAGGGATGAAAGATGGAGGCAGGACAGGAGGGGAGATGAGGGAGTCGGGAGGGCAGGGAACTGACTTCTACCTCGACTCTCCCCATTTCCTGCTCTGTGGTCCCCACAACCCCTCCCCTCTAGAGCCCTTCCAGCTCAGTCCTTCTCCTGAGCAGTGCTGTCCTCAGAGATGCCCTGGGCAGCCAGTTCAGCCAGCACATTATCCAGGTAATTGGCATCTGGGTAGCCATGGCCAGTGAGATTAGAGCCAAACTCTGTCTTGTGGTGGACCTCATTCCAGATGACGGTGTCTGACTCGCCTGTCGTGCTGGAGGTACCAATGGCAAAGATGAGGCGGCGATCCCAGGCCACCAGCAGCAGCTTCAGAACCTTCGGGACAAAAGGCAGAGATCACAGTCAGACTTTAGTGGTGGCCAGAGGCCACCCTTTGCAGGGGAGGAAGTCCTGCCAACGGCCCCACTGCTTCCTGCTTCGTGGTGCCCTGAGTGGAGGGACAATTTGGATGTGGAGTCAGGGACCTGCAGGTCACTCTCGGCTCTGTCACTGTCTGACTGTGTGGCCTGAAAAAGTTATAGCACCTCTCTGAGGTTTAAGTTCCTTATTTACGAAACGGCAACGGTACGACCTGCCACTACAGGCTGTGAGCAGGTTAGCAGGTGCTGTGTGAAGAAGACTTTAAGAGCAGTGCCTGGCACACACCCTTCAGCAAACGTTAGCCACACACCATCACAGCTGCGGTCCAAAAGTTGGGACCTAGGAGCGAGAGGCACTTCAGATCCGAGACCTTCTGAAGCTGTGCCTGCCACCCACCCCCACCTGAAAGCCATACTAATTTACCCACAGTGAACACTGCGGACTATTTCTGCAATGGCAAGGCTGACGTGTTGTGACCCCTTCAAGGCCATTTCATCCGTAATGCTGGTCCTGACAACTGCACTTTGAGTGAAGTCCGGCAGGAGCTATTGTCGTTGCACTTTTACAGGTGAGGCCCAGAGAGGTGTCAGCGCTTGCCAGAGTGTTCTAACTCAGCTAAAATGAAAACTACGTATTTCTTTTTTTGAGCAAGAAAAATATGCCCTGGCTGGTGTAGCTCAGTAGATTAAGCACGGGCCTGCAAACCAGAGGATTGCAGTTCAATTCCCAGTCAGGGCACATGCCTGGGTTGCAGGCCAGTTCCCAGCAGGGGGCGCACAAGAGGCAACCATACATTGATATTTCTCTCCCTCTCCCTTCCCCTCTAAAGATAAATAAAAAATTAAAAAAAAACATGTAACACCCTGTCCAGCAGGAAGAAGGTTCCTGATAAAAATGCATTGGTTTCAGAACTGAATGACGGTAGACATGTCGGGGGCCAGAGGTGGGGAATCATAACAGCAGTAATAATAATCATAGCAGACACGAAAACTATGAGCTACCATTCCTCGCTTCCGAGCACCTGTGCAAACAAAGCAGTTTCTAAGGTTCTGAATTCCTGTCAAGCTTATAGATGTTGCCACTGGTATTGGTCCCAGGAACAGCTGTTAAGCAGCGAAGTTCTAAAGGAAGGATTCTAAAACAAATGAATTATTGCAGGAATAGCCAGGTGAGGGGGAAAAAAACCAAAGTCCTGCCCCACCATCCTACAAAAACATTTGAACCATATCCACCCTTATCCATGGTTGACTCAACCATGACGTCACGCCATGGGCAGCTAGAGTGGAGGGAGACCCGGTTCTTCGTACCCCGTGCATTGTAGGAAGCAAAACTGGGGTCCCTGACACAGAAGTTAACAACCTGACGCCCCGGGTCTTACTTTTCTCCCTTTCTCGCTGTCTGGAAGGTAACAGTGTCGCGGGAAGCCCCGGGCGCTGAAACTCTTCCCAGGATTCGGGTGTTCTGGCCCCTGAAAGCACAGAAAGAAAACGAAGGGCATTGTCCTCACATATTTCTGGCGGGGAGATGCGCGCTGTGACTCCTGCAAATAATGGAGACGTTGATAATGGCTGTGGAGTCTAGACGGAGAACAGACCCAAAGAGCAGCAGGAGCGGAGCCCTCAGACCCGGGCTCGGACCCGAGCATCAGCCCCCCAGCTGTGCTAGCTGCAGCCCGCGGTTTCCCACCCACCAGACAGGACGATGTGGGATTCTCATCTCCTGAGACTATTCTGAACGTCCAGCGAGCCTGGTGCCTGCTCGCATGCAAAGAGCTCAGTAAATGTTGGGCTCACCACCATCAACTACTCTGACTATTTCGTTTTACCAGAGAATACTGCAACCCTTAGAGGCAAAATGACTTCCGTGGTCAATGGCTTTGCTAAAACTTAAGCCTCAGGTTTCCGAGGCATGCGCTGGACTGTTGACCTCCGAACAGCTGGGAGAACTCCAGCTGGGAGAACTGCCCTGAGCCGCGCAGGCAGCATTGTCTGAATGATTCCTGTCCGCCCTCGTGGCTTTCTGGTTTGTTTCCTTGTTTAACAATATGAACTGGGAAATTCATGGCTAAAAATCTAACATTTCCTTCCACTGTTGTGGCTCGGTCCTATTAAGCAGCCTTGGGCCCCGGGGGAGGAAAAAAACCGAAGCAGAATTTAACCAGGAACCAGGCTGCACAGTCAGGGTTCAGAGTGGGCCCACAGGCCCCTTCGAGAAATTCATGAAAAGTGAGCGATTTTCCCCTAGTAACACGTTTTTTACCTAAACACAAATATTTGTCTATCGTTTCAGAGCATCCCTGACCCCCTCGGAATCTGTGAAACCTGTTTTAAAACCCCTTCTCGGTGAAACCAACATAATATTGATAACAGCACACTGGCCCCCGCACCAGCGATCGGTAACTGCGTCCTGGCTGCAGAGGTGAACGAGCGAGTGAACGTGCGCATGCGTGACAGAACTGCAAGAAAGCACAGGCTTTTCCTTTTTTCTCATTATGGGCAATGAGTCTAAAATCATTTTTAACTTCTGGGGCTTCGTTTTAGTTGTTGTTGCTTCTTTTTAATAGCGCGGTTTGGGCTCGCCTGTGGCTTTGCAAACTGGACGCACCGTAAGGGCAGCGCGTCTCAGAGAAGGGAAAGGCCACTCCCTGCTGAAACAGCAACAGCCACTTCTTGGCGACGCAGGACTAGACCGTCCTGAATTTCATATTCGTAGGAAATCGCTCCCCAGGTGCAACATCCCCGTGGCCACGGCCGTTTCTCAGCCAGGTTGCTCTACTGAAGGGCCGGTTCCCACCGCCGCGCTGCCCGGGACAAGCCGCAGCAGGGCCCGCACTGGCACGGCCGCAGGCCTGCCTGGCGCTGACCCAGCAAGGCTGCGTGCTCCTGGCGCACTGCTAAGCGAAGCAGTCATGCAGTCAGGACTGGCCTCCAAGTGTCTCCCCCAGGGAACTGCTCCCTGCAGTGAAGGCCGAGCTTACAGGCTTCAACTCCTCACGGAAGCCCAAGTTTCCTCCGGCTGAGAAAGGGCAATAAAATCAGGACCTTGACCTACAATTATAAAGGATACATGGACAATAACAAGGGGTCGGGGTGGAAACAGGTGAGGGAGGTGAGGACTGCAGGGGTGGTGCAGAGAGGTGGGGGGGAAAGCAGAAAACTGTACTCGAATAAAAATTTAAAAATTAAAAAAATAAAAATAAGGGCCTTAAGCAGGGAGGCCCCCAAACAAACATTTCCTAATCGCCCTCCAACACCCCCACCTTCTCTCCTCTGAGACTTTGCACCTTCCTCCTCCTAAAGTCTCTCTTCTCCATTCCTTCACGTCACTCAAGGCTCTACTAGCAACTGCCCTGCACAAGAAAGTCTCCCCCAAGCCTCCCTGTCAGAGGGACACAGGCCTTCCTCTTTACCCAGACAAGGAAGGTACGCCAATGATGACAGTGACCAGGGACTGAGCACCCTAGTGCTGTGCCCTGTACCACAACATGCCCCTGAATGTTAGTTTCCCAGCTGCACAGGAAGGAAACCGAGTCAGGAAGGTCAAGTGGCTGTCCAAAGTCCCCAGCTCCTGAGGATCAGCCAGGTGTTGGAAGCCTGGCACCGCACACCCTCTTTTTACTCTGAAGCTTAGTGATGCACAGTGACTTTTCCCCCAACTGGTTGGTAAGTCCCTCAAAGAAGCACCATATTTTTTACTCACTTTTTTTTTTACAGGCTATCACATCTCCCTGTTTTATTTCTTCCACATGACTTATCACTATCTGGAAATGCCCCGTTTATTTATCTGTATTTTACTATCTTCCTCCTCCTGCTGGAACTTCAGAGGAGTGAGGGCTGTGTCTGTTCTGTTCACCATTGTTTCTCTAGCGCCTAGAAGACACCTGGCCCATGATCCACACTCAGATGTTTGTTAAACAACAACAAGAACAAAAAGAAAAATACGAGGAGGAGAGAGGGAAAGAGAGGGGGGACTCATAAATATTTTCTAAAGAAATGAATCCAGTAAGCACCCTAAAGCACTTAGAAAACACTTCCATGTGTGACGAAGAAACACGTCTGTATTTACTGCCAGGAAAATTGTTCTATTTGTTTCTTCGACCGTCTTTCAAAGAATCAAAAGAGGAAAGAGATGACTGTGAAAACCAGAGCCAAGGACTAGCTATCAAATTACAAATGCTAATACCATGTGACAAAGAAATTCCACTTCCAGAAAATTATTCTATGGACGCACTCACATGCATACAAGGTTATTCATTACAGCATTATTTGTTGTAGCAAAAGATTGGACACAATCCATATGCCCATCAAACAGAGGGTGTTGAATATGAATTATGGTAGCTTTGCACAATGGATTATTGCACAGAGCCAAGAAAGAATGGGGAAGCTCCCTCTCTGCAAACATGAAAAGATATACAGACTATATTGTTCATTGAAAAATGCAGAGTGCAGAACAATATGTCTAATATGTCACACTTGGTGTAAAAATGGGAGAAGTGGATGCAGTCTCTGTTGCGTATGTGCAAAGAACCGGGAAGGAGACAAAAGAAAGTAAGAACAATGGTGGAGGGTGGGGGTGGTTCCGGCCTCATAGATGGGGGACAAGACTGGGAAGGGGGCTTTTCAGAACATAACATTGTCGCAGTCAGCTTGGGCTGTGCTAACAAAATGCCACAAACTGGGTGGCTTTGAAAGAGCAGAAGTTCATTTCTCACAGTGCTGGAGGCTGGGAAGTCCAAGGCCAAGGTGCTGGCGGATTCAGCGTCTGGTGAGGCTCCACCACGTAACTTGTTTGGTTTCACAAGCTCACTGCTGGAGAAGAATTTGCTCCGGGATGAATCGCACCTGGAGTCTCCTCCACGTCTGGTTTCAGTGCTACTTAGTGGAGACTTTGCACTTAGACTTCAAAGTTAATGTTGCAATGAGTTAAGACTTTTGAGTTTGTTGGAATGGAATAAATGTACTCAAGAAGGACATGAAGTTTGAGAGGGCAGGGGCGAAATGCTATACACTGAAAGTTTGTGTCCCCCTCAAAACTGATAGGTTGAAACCCAATCCCCAACATAATGGTATTAGGAGGTGGGGGGGTCTTTGGTGGGTGATTAGGTTAGGAGAATGAAGCCCTCAGGAACAGAATTAGTGCCTTCTTACACCATCTCCCCTTCAACCCGGGGAGGACACAGCAGGAAGACAGCCCTCAGCAGACGCTGAATCTACCGGCACCTCATCTTGGACTTCCCAGCTCTTAAATTTGTGTTGTTTAAAAGTTACCCAGCCTGCGGTACTTTGCTACGGCAGCCTGAATGGACTAGGAAAAACATTTACATGCAAACATTTAAAACAACAACAGTCGAGGGCCGAGGTGGTCTCACCTGGATGCCGGGAGGGATGCTGTAGATGATCCGGATGGTTTTGCAGTCTGGGTGGCCAGGCAGGGAGTGGGGGATGAGGTGGTACTCCATCTTCCCGGGGGGCTGGGTGCCTGTTTTCACCCCGTAAATGGTCTTACAGGTTGGACACTGCAAGCTGCCATCCTGGGGAGACAAGGCCAGAATGACCAGCTTTGGAAGCGGTTTCAGTAATGACCTCTGGAACCAACGCCAAAAGGTACCAGAGATAAAGGGTCTGGAGGACAAAGTGCACCCAAATGAGTAACAGACCTTAGTTGTCCCGTTCCCCCTGCTTGGGCTGCCAAGGCCATTTCTGCTTTCTCCAAAGTAACAGGAGGTGCAATCCACCAACAGCCCCTTACTTCACCCTCTCAGGGACTCGTAAGAGGGGACCTGTGCTTGAGGAGGAGACCTGGCTTTGCACTGCGCCCCAGGGCTCTGTTGGGGGTGGGCTGGGGGGACTCTGGCTGCAGAGGGGTCACTGTTTCACAGCAGGGCCTGGTGAATTGTCACCTGGAGGGGAGGGACAAGAGCCTGGACAGCAAATTCTATTCCCAGGCTCGGAAGGAGGAAGGGTGGGAGGGGAAGGAAGGCATGAATGTGCAGAGAGCAACTTGTGTAGGAAATGCTGCCACCCGGATGACACCAAAGCTCTGCTCGGGAAGAACGTCGGGGATCCTCTGCGGAGCTCCTTAGGGACATACCGACTCGAGGCGTACTCATTGAAAGGCATAGCTTGTGTTCAGAGCAATTACAGCATGTGACCAAGGAACGGGAACCCAAGGCTTGGGGTCAGGAAGCCAGGCCCCACTCTCTGCTCTTGCCTTAACATGCTTCATGACCTTGGGTGACTCACTCCGTTTCACTCTGGGCCCTTTTCTTTCCTCTTTTGTGTAAAGAGAATGAAAAAAAAAAACCCCATGCTTCAAAGTATTAGTGCCAAAGAGAATAAAAGATAGTGTCTAACAAAACATTTTAAAAGCACCATGGTAATAAATGCAAAAAGGTACTGGATTATTCTTGAATGCAGTCATCCAAAAGGGCTTGAGTATGTTCAAATCGCCTTTAAACCCAAAACAACCTCTGAAAGTGCAAAGTCCCAATGACACCTTTTACTTAGGGTCAGGAAGGTGAGCATGGGGTCCAGGCAGGCAACATCCATCAGTGACTGAATGTGCTCTCCCCGAGGTGCTCCGAAAGGACCCTGGTGCTTTCGGAAACTCAATCATAAGGATACAAAAAGAGGAAAGGAAAAATTATAGTCATGATTAATATAAAGGAGATATCAATTTAAGTCATAATGGTAATAACCCCCTATAAAGTAGGTATTGTTTTATCTTCATCTTCCAGATGGAAAATGAAAACTTGGAGTTGAAAATCTTGCCCGAGGTCATTTGGCTGCTGCGCCAGGGTTCAATCTTGGGTCAGCTCCCTCTCTTGCCTCCACCCATTCCCACAACAAGGGAACCACACAGCAGCCCCCCGAAAGCCAGACATTTATTTTGGATGAGTAAGAGGTTGAAGATCAGAGAAATCTCAGACTCTGATGCAATCCAAGCTGGGCCTGGAGAAATGTGCAGGGTTCAAGTTCATGGAGATGAGGAAATGGAGGTTATTGTAGGCACAGGAAAGAATATTAGAAAAGTCAGGACTTAGAAAAAGCTGGGACATTGGAAGGAGAGAGTTGTCATCCAGGGACATGCCCAGAGTCCCAGAAACCAGCTCTGACCGGGCAACACCACACCGCAGTCCATCATGGACGAGATGAGCATCTCGGCTTCCCCGCCTCCAGCAGGGGCATCTTACGGGATTGCCAAGTAGGCCTCGACAACAGTCCCGAATGCCTTCGAAGGGGCAATCAAGGGTATTTTGAAAATATCCAAAGAAAATGAATTATAACCAGAGGAAGGACAGACGATCGGGAAACCCATCTCTGCCTGTGTGAGTGAACGCTCACCACCCACCCAGTGCTGCGATGAGAATTTCCTTCCCCCTCACTGATGGGGGCCCATTTCGCCCAGCAACAGGCCATGACAATGGACCGCTATTCTCACAAACCTCGCGGGCAGAAGTCTGTACCTCTCCGACCACGGTGCCTCGTGTTGAGATCAGGGGGAATTGGGTAGCAGAGCCCAAAGGAAAGATAAAGACAGGTTTTGTTACATTGTGATTTTGTGGAGGACAGATCCTGTTCAGAAAAGCCACAATGACCACTCCTGCTGCCCTGGGACACCTTTAAGGTTTCCCACGTGCCCCAGGCGCAACGCCAGCAAGGCCTTCCTGCTCTTGCTCCTCCAGGGCCCAGGGCGGGGCTGGAGGTGGCGGCAGCCCCACAGGCTGGCACTCACCTTGTTGCCGTTGTTGTACATGGCGACCAGGCAGTAGATGTGGTAGATGTGGCCGCACCTGGACAGCTTTCCCACCAGGTCGGGCTTGACTGCGGGCTGCGGGCCCTTGTAGCCTGAGGGGGCCGTGAGGCGCTCCATACAGATGGTGCAGTCCTGGGGGCAGGGGACAGAGCAGAGAGGCCGTCAAGCCTCCTCCAGCCTGGGACTGTGCAGCATCCCCACGCTGGTCCCCGAACGCTCAGAGGTCAGGTGAGCTGTCACTGCCTCTCTGCTGGGAAGCCTACAGACTAGGGTAGCCGGGCCTTTGGGAATCTAAGTATAGCCTGGCCTTTGGGAATCTAAGTATATTTGTGCCTTGCTTTAATTTACACAACAGAAAAATTCCTGAAATAACTCCTGGTGTCAGAACATGTTAACTTGAGCTGGCCAACAAAACGACGGTCTCCTTGAGGGCTGCGACGGTGCAGCAACCTTCCTGGGCGCCTTCAATGGCTTGGGAAGGAAACAAATGCTGCTGACAGCCCCATTGGTAAGCTCTATTTAAGCGGACTTTTTAGAAGAATTATAATGCTAGTACACCAGAGGGACTGCTATTTAAATCAACCTACAACAGGATTTCTCAACCTTTGGCACTATCCACAAGAGGGGTTGGGTAATTCTTTGCCGCAGGGCTGTCCTGGGCATTAGAGGGCGTTCGACAGCATCCCCGGCCTCTGCTCACTGGATACCAGTAGCCTCTCCTCCCCTCCTCACCCAAATTGTGCAAAACTCCCTCTGGCTGGGAACCACTGACCTTCATCCTGCTCATTTCGAAGTCAATTCCCACTGCTTATCATTCTGTTTGTCTTAAATTCAGACTGTCATGTTAAGGTACTTTAGACTCAGTCAGCTCTTTGCTGTATGGGGAGGTGAGAGAGTTTAAGCTGCCTCTTACGACCACCAACCTTGGAGCCCAGGTGAGCATCCCTTCCGACCAGCTCTGTACCTGTCAGGACTTAGCAGCTTTTGCCTCATGGGCAGTGGAAAGGCCGGTGGGTGATGGGGAAGGTGAGCCCTGCCTCCCACCCCTGCACTCACCTCGTCTGGTGGGTGCCGGACTTTCTGCAGGTACTTCTTTAGCACTTCCTCTGGGGTTTTACCTGTGGGGACAGGGTGATCAGAGAGAGCCACCAAGACTGAGACAAGGGATGGAACAGCCTCGCCAAGCTGGGTATACCAGAGAGGAGCGTTATCAACCTGGCTAAAGGCAAGAAAAGGAAGAAATTCATTCTGCAATGGGGTATGAGAATTTGAAAGGGACTCAGGGGGTAGAAGAGGCGGAGAGGTGGTCTGGGGAGGTGGGAGGTAGTTCTGCCTGCCTTCACCTCCTGCATCACTTCCCTGACTGCCCCCCCCCCCCATAGTCACAACAAAGCCACTTTTACAGGGAAAGACTGAGTGGGTTTCTCTCCCATAAAATCACAGAGCCTGGGCCTGCCCAAACAATGCAATGAGATAGCAGAAATAAAAGCACTCCGTACCCTGTTACAAGATAAATAAAAATAAAAAGTTAGGTAGGCTCATTGCATTTGTTTTACAACCTGCCAAGCACTGTCGCAATCTATAATGTGGCATCGAACTGGTGTTATTTCCCTGGGAAGCCAGGAAGTTGTGACCACAGCTCTGAAAGGCCTTCCCTGGTGGTCAGCGGCGTGGTCCCTGCCCGCAGACCTAGCTCCTCAGCAGGGACAGGCTGATGGGAAGCATCCTGAAGGTGCGATGATTCTGGAATTTACGGGGGGACTGGACCCCTTGGAAGCAGCCCAGCCCGAAGGCAGGGAAATGAGCCTCGCAAGGAGGCAGAGAAGGGAAGAAGGGCCAGTGCCTCCTGGGACGGCACTCGCAACTTTTCTGTGCTTCCTTTCTCACTTATTAGAGGAGGAAGAGCCGACCGGACCTACTCAAGAGTAGTTTTGATAATCAAATGAGCTAATGGACATGCAGCCCTCCTAGCACATTGCCAGCTGAGGATCCCATACGGGCTATTAATAATAACCACAGGAAGACCGGGAAAGTGCCGAATCCTGTCATTTCCTATCAGATAACAAGCACAGGCAATTGAGTTCATTTAAGCGGAGATTCTAACGGACTGGAAAAGTAGGACAAGGGTTTGAGGGAGTGGACCAGGCGACAGCCCAGTGCTGGACGCCGGCCCTCCCTTCCCACTGTCCTGCTTCTCATATAAGAACTAAGCTCCCACTAAGGGTCAGCGTGTGACTTGCCAGGCCCCGAGCTAAGGGCAGTGTACGTACGATTGAACCGAAACTAAATAACATGTCTGCAAGGTGGGGACTTACAGGTGACGGTCCACACATTTGGCCACCATACCAGGGACAAGGTAGACCAGCCGCGGGGCTGAGGCAGGGCCCCCTGGTACCAGGGCAGGCACAGAGCCCTGTGGGGTCGTGGGCAGGTGGGAAGGAGCTCCTGCAGGGGGTCCAAGTAGCCAGAGTGCCTGAAGGCTCGAGCGGGACACAAAGCCATGGCTACTTCCCAGCTGACATGGACACATCCCGGGGCATACCTGCTGGACACTGGCTGTGACTACTTCCACCCCAAGTTAAGGTGAGAAGAGACGGGCCCTCTGAGGTCATGACTTGTAAGTGACAAAGTCGGGGTTTGAATTCAGCCTGTTTTGGTTCCAACGCCAAGGTGATCTTTCTTGCTAACGTACTTTACCTGTGTCACACGTCACACTTTTCTGTGTTTCTGTAACTCTGCCCTGCATTGTTATATTTGGCATCTCGATCCGATCCATGCACGGGCTAGTGTGGAATAATCATCAGAACAGGCACAGGTTCGGCCTGCTTAGCCGAGGCAGAAGTTAAGGCCCAGCGTGGGTGAGCCACGGGGGTGACCCTCAGCGGTGGAGGCAGAGCCAGGGCTGGGAGCCAAGGCTGTGGCTGCCAGCCCCTCCCCCGCCCCCAGAAGATGAGGAGGCTGATACCTTTCCTGGCTTGCTTTTTGGTGGTCTTGCGGCTCGTGTTGGAAACCCCTGGGATGGATTTTATTTCGCTCTTGCTGACGGGGGGCGGGTGGAGGACCAGCTTTGGCGGCCTGGTGAGGCACACGGGCAGCCCCGCTGCGCTCATGAGGATTCCCGTGATGCCTGGAAGGGAAGAGCGAGAGTCCGGAAGGACCAGGGTCAGGCCCCAACACCCCCTTTACTCCTCCCTCCCCACGACCCTCCTCTCCTCCTCGCTCCAGAGTTCTCGTAACACACAGATTCTCTACTTTTCCCAGAAAGATTCGTTTGTTCACCTTCAACATCACGCTTTGCTTTCAGCAGCCAATTTTCCCTAAAGTTCTTCCTGCTCATCCGACCCAACTCCTAAAATCCCCGTTTGCTTGAATTAACGTCCGAATTCTCTCTCTTGTACAAATGCTCACTAGCTGTTTCGTTGCTTTCATTTTTCTACCTTTCACAAGACCAGTGCAGGGTCTCTCTTACCTGCTAGGGCGGGATTGACAGGACTGGACCCATTTAGGTTCTTCACTGGGACCGTGGGGACCCTGTGGGAGGAGAGAGCAGGTGCATCATGGTTCTGACAAGTGGGACCCCAAAATTTCACCCACGAAGTGTTGCCCTTTCTTAAGGGAACTAGTCAACCTTCCTAGAGATGCACCGAGTGCTAAGCACCACAGTTGGAGGTGAGACCTTCAACACAAAGTCAAGCCATGTCATCCCGCACTCTGAGCCTCAGACCTCAGGAAGACCCCCCGGTTCACTCGGAGTTCCCAGCCTGCGTGCTCTGCCCACCCTCCCCAGCCAATCTTCCTGTCTCTCAGTTCTCCCTCATATCGCTCGCTTCTTTGCTCTAGCTGTACGTCCTACACGGCTGGTACATCCTGCCTCAGAGCCTTTGCGAATGCTGTTCCCTCTGCCTGAAATACTCTTCCACCAGATATATTCCCGGCTCCCTCGTATGCCTCCTTCACTCTTGGCTCACATGTCACCTTCCCAGAGAGGTTCCTGAGACCATTTTATTTAATACTGCTGCCCACTCACCCATCCTACCTTGAGGGCCCCAAACCCTCTTATGTGGGTGCACTTTTCCCCTACAGAACGTACAATCTTTTAAAATAAGTCGTTGCTTATTATCTCCCCTTCTAGAAGCTAAGCTCTACAAGGGCAACTTCCTTTGCTCCTTTTGTTCAGAAGCCTCACACCAGTAGGCATTCGACGACTATTTGCTGAAGGAACGTAAACACAGACAAGCACATTCACACCTGGGTGGACACCAGCGCCACCTGAGAAGCTTGGAGAGAGCCAGGGCCCAAGCCCCAGGCTTGTTTGGGGCGCACACACTTGCGTTTTCGTGTGCTTCTGTGGAGAGGTTGCAGATGCAGCCAATCCCCTGTCCAGCATTTGGAAACCACTGCCTTAACAGCTGTCACTTCTTGTCCCTGAGAAACACACATATCAAGCAAAGCCTCCTCCTCTCTCTGTCCCTCTCCCAGCAACTGAAGCCAAGCTGGAGAGGAGACAGCACAGCTGCCTGGGAAAGACAAGGCCTCCCACAGCGCCAACTCCTGGAAAAATAGGGGACATGTGGGGCTGGGTCTTGCGCCACCTCCCTCCTAACCCCCGCCGCTCAGGCTTCCGCAGCTGGGCTTAGAGGGCAGCGTGGAGAGGCCGGTGGCCTGGGTCGCAGAGGACTCCAGCAGCCAGGCAGCCTGAGAAGACGGCAATTCTGTGATGCGGGCCGGGTGGTGCTGGGGAAACAGGAGGAGGGAGAAAGAGCACGTTGGGGTGTTTGCTTGTGTTGTTTATTATTTGTCTACTTGTCATGAACAAGAGATCTCGTGAGCTTTCACCCATGTGTTATAATGCTTAACATGCACCTCCTACCAGGCACATTCTCACTGCTCACAGCACAGACAGCATCCAATCCTCCCAGCAACCTATGCCAGAGGTGTTAGAATTATCAACCGTATTTCAACAGGCCGGGAAGCCGAGACACAGAGAGGTTAAGCGAGCTCAATAAAGATCACACAGCTAAGGATCTGAAAGCAGGACGCCTGGCTTTAGTCGCTCACAATGCTCCTGTCTACTTCATCCCCTCACCCCGCGCTGCAGACGGAGAACATGACGCTCAGAGAGCTTATTCCCTCCGAATAAGCCCGCACCTAAGAGGCAGCAGGGTGGGGATGGACCTCAGGGTCGAGCAGTGGGTCCGCCTGTCCCCTGTGTGCCCAGGGTTGATTCCCCTGCTACGCTGAGTCTTCCACGGCATCTGTGCCTCCGCAGGGACCGCGCCAGGGGTGTGAGAAGGATGAGGAAATAACAGATGGGGAAGTGTTTGTGTCTCAGAAGGCCACCAAAGGCTACTTTTCCTCAGAAACTGTCCATAGGAGAAATCAAACTCATATGAGGGGAGGGGAATTCAAAACAAGGAAAGTAGGCCAATAAAAAAAAGAGAGGCTCAGACTAGATTCTGGACCCTGTGACCTGCCCCAAGGGGCCAGGCATGGTTATGGTGAATGGGGAGTCAGGAAATCCTGCCAGTAACTTTTCTGAGCCTCCATTTCCTTACCCGTGAACCTGTGAGGGTCTGGGGTTAGAAGACACCAGGGAGACTTCTTGACAGTTTTCCACCCCAGTCCCTAAGATTGGGTGGCAGCCTGAGTCCTGGGTTCTCTGCCCGCAACTGAGATGCCTCCTTCCCTGGGCTGCGCCTGGAGAGGCTGGGAATGAAGGTCTGGTCCCCTGTGCCTGTCCCCAGCTCCCCACCAGGGGGCAGCGCACCACCCAGTCACCCCCCCCCCCCTTCCCGCATCTGCCTGACCCCCTCACCACTCCAAGGCCCCCACTCTCGCTGATGGATAGCTGTGATCTGGGTGACAAAAGCTACCTTTGTTCCCACAAACTGGACTGGCAGGTTTCCACACCCAATCTGCTTAACCAGGAAATATTCCAACCGGCCCAGCACCCCCCCCCAGGCAGCCCAAGAACTGGTGGGGGGGGGGGGCGGCAGAGTCTGAAGAGAGGGAGGGTCTGCACTTGGGGCCAGGGACCCCTGTAATACTGTGGGAGAGGTGGGTGTCCCTGCTATGCCAGGAAAGAGACAGCGTGGCAGAAGGGCTTGTCACTAGGTTCTGGGTGGCACTGGGGCTTGGGGAGGAAGGGGATATTTATTTATGAAATACAGAAGGGTATAGAGGAAGGAGCCCTCCCCCCCAAGGGGCCAGGAAGTCCGCCTTGCAGCCCAGCTGCACAGTGGCATGTGCCTTTGAGAGGGCCACACAGACTCTCTGCACTTGTCGACCACACCTGAGTAAACAGGGCCCCTGCATCTTTGTCCCATCGGGTCCTGGTAAGGATAAAGGATCTTGAGAAAAATACTTTGTAAATAGCCAAGCCCTATGCAAATTCGAGTGATTATCTACATCTTCGTTTCCCTGTAAGAAGAAGCTGGGCTCGATACAGTCTTCTCCTGCTGTAACATTGCAATTTTCTCAGGTTCTTGAGGCTATCAAGTGTGAAGTGCCAAGTCCAGTGCCGGAGGGTGCTCAGGGTGGTTGGCTAGCAACAACTGGTCACCCCTCCCCCACTGATACCGGCAGACAAAACCAGGACCAGGAGACCGGCCCCTGTAGTCCCCACAGGTGACACCCTGTTGGGGCCCCAGCTCCAGAGGCCTGAGCCCTCCCTCTAGAAACCAGCAGCCCAATGGCAGGCAGGCTTCCCCACCCTCCGGGCAACTCAGCGCGCAGCCGCAGCTGTCTGCCCGACCACTTGGGGGCCAATCAGAGGGCACTCTGTCTGCCCCCATTCTCCTGGGCTGACCCCAGTTACGGAGGGTGCAAGTTTTCATTTCTGCCCCTAAAATATAAAACCAAGAAAAGAGAAAAGCAAGTGAGGTGGCAGGGGAGGGCAGTCTGAGGCAGACACCAGGCTGAGAAGCAGTGTTTTCCTTGGAGTCTTGGGCCAACCCAGGACCCTCAGACAGAACAATGGCCTTGTCTCTCCAGCAACCGAGGCCTCGCTGGAGATAGAGAAGCCTCGTTCTGGAGCAAAGGGCCAGAGGGGCGACTCTCGCCCTCCCCTGTACAGTCCCTCTCTTCCTCCTCTTTAGAAGACCCCTGTTTGTGTCTCTGAATAATTCACGGGGTCTTTTGTTCCCCCCCAAACCCTTCTCTCCATCCCACCCTCCCGGGTCTTCCTTTATCCGTGGGAAAGTTGCTTGAAGAGGTCATGGGCAGCCGAGAGGAGGGGGCGGGGCCACTGGGTGACAGAAGGCCGATGGCAATACCAGACAAAGAGAATAAACACGCCAATTAAATGGCCAAGAAAGACCGGAGCAGAAGATGGGAGTGGGGGTGAGGGAAGTGGGAAGGGGTGAAAAGAAGAGGCCTGCAAGATGGGGAGGGGCCTCCCTTGTCCGGGAAACAGAGCAGAGAAAAATCAACTTGTTTCTATAGCCCTTTTGAAACTGCACGGCCGGCCCTCCAGCCTGTTCTCCCTCTCCAAGTCTGCTGCCTGGCAGGGGGAATAAAGCGGAGAGATAAAGAGCTGCCCATGCCCTGATTGGGATTTAAAGCGATCTGGGTTCCTTTCACTTGGTTATGGCAGGGGGTCACTTGGCACTTGTCAAGGGCGCCAGCGATGAGGCAAGGCTGCTTATCTCGGACTTCAATTCAACAACTACCTGGCACATATTCCCTAAGTACCTGTGGCTAATAAAAGTCAACAACAACAGCCACTAATTCTATGGAACTCTTACTATGTATCAAGCATTGTGCTAAATCTATACATCAAATATTTCATTTAATCACCATGACAACCCTCTAAGGAAGGTGCTACTATTACTCCCATTTTACAGATAAGCAAATTGAAGACAGAGGATGCTAAACTTGCCCCTACCCCCCCACCCCATTACACAGCAAGGAACTTGGGTTCAAGTTCAGGCAGTCAGGTTCTGGAGGCTGGGTTCTTACCCACGCCGGTGATCCTGCTGAACTGTGGCAGAGGCCCCCAGGAGGCTGCTGTGTGACAATGCACAGAAATTGAGCAGATGCAGAGGCACTGTTTAGGTACCCAGTCCCTTCTCCCAAATACTTCTGTGCACTCAGAGGAAGTTGTATGGAAACCCCATGCATCTGACCAGCATTTGACCATGTGCAAATTGCTTTTGCATAAACGAGGAGCTGGGCTTAAGCAGAAAAAAAAAAAAAAAAAGCAGTGGACTAGGAGACTGAAAGCAAGTTCCAACCCCCAGCCTATACCACACAAGCTATGCGGCTGTCATTGGGGAGTTAATTCTGAGCCAAGTGCCATGACTGACACTTACATCAGAGGGTAAGGGAAGGGGGTGACGCCGGGGAGGGCACCTGGTGAACTGTGAAGGGCTGAACGCCCTCAGTGGAGGTTTTCAGGAGGACTCCCTGGGGTAGACAGGGCAAGCATGATGCTCCCCATTACACACAGGAGGAAACTACTCCTTGCACAGCTTCTGCGACATCTGAGTGGCAGAGGTGGGAGTAAAGGCCGGGCCTCTCGGTCTGCAGTACACCCTCCTCCTCCTCCCCTCTCAGCACCGAATCTCTCTGTGCAGAGACCGCCTCCTGGGCAGCCCGAGTTTTACTCTCAGCTGTCCAACCTGACTCTGCACCACGCTGCTGCCCAGGCTCCTCGGTGCCGGCAGGGCCAGGCGCCTCAGGATAAAGGGAAGGTTGGGTGGCCATGAGAGGCCGACCTCATAAAAAACCAGGGGATGGAGGCACCTCCGGACCTGGGACTCTCCCATTTTAGGATCGAGCCAACCAAGATGGTCATGAAAAGCAATCATGACAGAACACACGTCGCGTTATTACGGGAGTAACAGGCAATCAGGAAATGTGCCCAGCACATGGCAAGTGCTCACTGATGTGGGCTGCTAATCTAATCTGGAGGCTCCCCTCCGGGGGCCAGAGAGACCAGAGGAAAGGAACAAACCCTTACGTGGCACCTGCTGAACGCCAGGCACCGTGGTGCGTGCTGGACGGGAGGGACGCAAGGAGTCAGAGAGTCTGGCTCTGACGCCCGACTTCCTAACGGGCGCATCCTGGCCTGTGCTGGTGGTCAGCTATGTGCCCTTGAGCCAGGGAACCTGTAGTTTCTTCATGTGTAAAATGGGATCCAGACGCCTCCCTCATAGAGCTGCTGTGAAGGATGAAATGAGATGGCACCCCCAAACTGGAACACGGTGGGAGCACAATTCACGTTGCTGCTATACTAAGGATGTGTGATCTCCTGCGGCACTCACCACGCATGACTGCTGGCATTTACCGAGCAGGAAGTTAGGGCTCTGATGTTAGGGACTGCCCATCTCAGGGCCAGAAAGAGGCAAAGTCTCAAGGAGGGTGAGCTCGGCCCCCAAAGGCCAGAGCCTCCTCATCCACCACACCACGCTGCCTTCCACCTGCAGCCGCAGGTAGGACTGGACCAGAGGGAGCTTAAGTCCTGGCGGCCCCTCCCCCATCTCTGACCGGATGACCAGTCGTTTGCTGGCCCTGATGAATAAAGGCCCAGAGGCAGCCACGCAGGCACCTACCCAGAGGCGATCAGCACCCGGGACTGGGCGATGGCCAGCCGCTGCAGGTTGGTCCGATTCAAGGTCGCCAGGGCCACCCTTCCCGTCTTGCCGTTGGCACCTGGGGGGCTGGTGGGAGGGCCCGCAGTGGCCCCTGCGGGCGAGCTGGAGGCCTGTCGCTGGATCGGCTGCGATGGGGCGGACTTCACTGGGCCTCGAATGGTGCCCGTGCCGTCCAGTGGCTTGGCCCCAGGTCCTGGTGGTGGGGGCAGCTTGACCACTCCAGACGGGGGCATGTTCTTGCGGGCTGCCGGAGGCTGCAGGGGACCAGTGCTCCCGCTCACCACCGCCGCCTTGACGCTCATCACCAGGACGCACTGCGGGCAGGAGCAGGGAGGGCCTGGGGGCGAGGCGGCGGATCCGGGGCTGGACGGCCAGGACTGCGCTTTAGGCAAGGTGCCAGTGACCATGGGGTAGACGAGATCCAGACGCCGGCGCACGCGGCGCTGGCGCTGGGTCTGCCGGTTGATCTGGCCCATGGTGCTGAAGTCAATGACGTAGCTGAAGCCGATGGAAGTGAGGTCGATCCAAGGGTGCTGCTTCTCGTACGCGTGCTGGATGGTGATGCCCACTTCCATGTCGTAGGGCGTCCAAGAGCCATTGTCGTTCTCCCACTCCCACACCACGCCCTTCCCGGGGGCCGAGGACGGGTCGTAGTAGTTTCGGCGAACTGGGCGGAGGGTCCCTGCCAGAGGGGGACAAAGGAAAGGGTCAGGGTCAGCAGAGAATGACACTGAATTGTGTTTCATTAACAGGCAAATATTAGGTGAGTCTTCCTGTGCGCCGGGCATGAGGCTGCCTGTGAAGGGTCAGCTTTGAATGAGACTCCGTTCTGCCTTTCAGGAGTCTGTCACCCCGGGGTGAACACAGATGAGTAACAAGGACAGCGATGGGCCAGGCAGTGCCTGTTACCAGAAGGGGCACCTTTGGTCTGCAGTGGGGACCCTTTGGTCTGCAGTGGGGACCCTTTGGTCTGCAGTGGGGACCCTTTGGCTTGCAGTGGGGACCCTTTGGTCTGCAGTCAAGTTTGTCACTTGCTAACTGATATAGAGCCTCCGGCCTCCTTTTCTCCCCTTAGATAACAGGATAGTAACTCCTGCGCTGAGTTATTGTGAAAATTAACTGTGGCTGCTTCTTACTAAATATGCGTTTGTTTGTGCCAGGTTCTGGATTTCTCTTCCCCCTTGACACACGGCAGGCACTCCTAAATATCCTACCCCTTCTTCCCTATCCCTCCAAATGCCCGCCTCTGGCATCACGAGGGAAAAGAGCACAGGGCCCTGGAACCCAGGAGGCAGAGGACGACTCTGCTTCCTCCCGGGAAGGCTGCACAGTGACAGTGGGGCCATCGGTGACCGAGCCCGTCACTGGGAGAAGAGAAGGGAAAAGCAGGTGAAGAGCACTCTCTCCAACTCTGCAGCATTGTCTTATATCAACCACGATAATGACCGCAGGGATAATTTTCTATTTATCTAATGTCTTTCTTTCAAGAAGGTCAACCCCTCCTAAAGAGATCTTAATTGTCACAGTCTTGCTGGGGGTGAGGGTAGGGTCAAGACCAGAGTCATTGCAGGTGAACAGCACAGCGGAAATGAGCCTGCAGGACCAGAAGGAAATACTAGGCCTGTCACTGTTGCCTCTTTCACCCCTACCCACCCCAAACCTGAATTCAGACCCAACTGGGGCTCATTTCATGGGCATCATCATCGAGGCTAAAGATGCCCAGCTCAAGGCGGCGGGGAAGCTGGGGAGAGCACCAGGGTGGCCAGAATTGCCAAATGTGCCATCGCGAGCTCTATCCATCACTGTGGTGGGAAAAGGCTCCCCTCCTCCGGCCTCTGACCCAGCCCTCCTCCAACCCAGAGGGAGATACCAGGACTGGGGACAGAATCCCATTCAAGGGGGGAAGAAAAGGAACAATGGCTATTCAAGCCTTTGCCAGGGTCATAACCTGCCCCCCCACCCCATCTCCAAGCCCCTTAATGACCCAAAACATCAACATGCAGAGGCAGGAGGGAGAAGCAGAACAATCCCCTATTCAGCAGCAGGATCTCTGCTGGGGGACGGGGGTAGCTAGCAGGATGGGAGGAAGGGGGTGGCCATAGTGTCCTGGTTTGCTTCCATTTCCTTCTTATGCAGGGAACAAAGAGCACAGGCTTTGTGTCCCACGGCGAAGGCCCCGCCCCTTCCAGTCATGTGACAAAGCCTCAGTTTCCTCATCTGCTCGGGGCCCTGGGGAAGCTACTCCAATGGGTGAATTTGAGGGTGAGATGAAGGAATGATCATAAAGCACTGAAATAACACCTGTCACATGGCAAGAGCTCAGTAAAAGTTGGTGATTACAATTGTGATTTATGTTCTATTATGTGACTAAGCAGGAGGCAGGAGTTGTGTGGAAAGTTTAGTTGAGGGGATGCAGAGAGAGAGAGAAGGGGGAGGAGAGAGAGAATGTGTGTATGTAACTCATATTTATAGTCTTTATTCCTTAGGAAGCAACTTCACCGATCCCAGACCACAGGATCTTCACAGCAATCCTATGAAACATCTTTTAGAGATGAGAAAATTAAGCTTAGAGAGCTTAAATGACACTGTTTTATATTCTATTCAGGGTAGCAGGGACAATGTATTGTGCTTGGCCAATTTTCACAGATATGCTTAAAAGGCAGTTTTGGGTTTTCTTACAACAATGTTAGCAATGCCAGAGGTGTCCGAGAATTGCCCCAGAACATCTGGAGACCAAGCCCTGGCGCTCACACACCTTTCTGGGTTTATCTTCCCCTGGTCTTCTGTCTCCTCAGCTCCTGACAAAGAGACACCCCTTTTATCCCCATGGATTCCCTCAGGAGGGCTCCTGGAGCTCTGCAGCTGCTATCCATCAGGCCTCTTCTACTGAAATGCTCTCCTTTGCCTCTTTTACCTATTGATATCCTCCTGATCATTCAGGCCCTATGCCATTTGCCATCCATGTCTTGGAAGTTTCTCCCAGCCCTGGCCCCACCCTCAGGAAGTCTGGGGTGCACTAGCCTCTCCCCATGTTTCGTGCTGGTGCCCTAAGTGGAGGCATAGACACCACCGTGCAGGCCTCTGCTTTCTAGTGCCTTCTGCAGTGTCTGGCAGCAACGAGTGCTCCATAGCGTGTGCGGATAAACTGACCACTTCCGGCTACTTTAGCATTTCATTGTTCAGCTCACACTGCCGAGTGTCCACCAGCTGCTCTGAGGGATGCCAGGACCTAGACGATCCTCAAGTGGCTTACAGTATAACACAAGACAGGTGTGCGGATGCCTGTTCATGAGGCAGAATAGCCACAGGAAGGGTGCCAGCTGGAAGGAAGCACGTTGGCAGAAACTCTGACCACATTCTCACTGGGCTTAAATCCTTTCCATGACTTCCCCTGGGTTCAGGGGATCCCCTCTGCCCACCAACTTCACCTTAAGACCCTCTGCACACATTTCTGCTACCCCAGCCTCCTTCAGTCTCTGCCCACTGTGCCATGCTTGTCTGGGCCTTTTCACAATGCCGGCACCGCCCCCCAACACTCTGGCAACCCTCCTCACTGCTCACCCTTCAGACTGCTCTGAGCTGCCCTGACCAGGTCAAATTCTCATTCCTATTTTCCATGTAGCATTTATCTTGATGGCAAATTACCCATTTATTGTGCGATTAATTTGGTGAATGTCTGTCTCCCTCCACTAGACTCCCAACCCCACAAGAGTGGGCATGCAGGTGTTTGTTTAGGGCTGTATCCCCGGTGCCTGGAATGTCCTCGGGGGCTCAATAAATATCAGTTAAACATTAGATAAAGTAAGGATGGTTTGGAGAGCATTTCAAGAAATGGATGACAAACAGCGTAAGATCTGAATGATAAGGAGAATTTCAATAGGCAGAAATGGCAAAGGAGGGCATTTCAGTTGAAGAGACCTTGTAAATAGTTGTGGGGGGTGGGTGGTCAGAGAACACCGAGGGAATTCACGAGGATTAAAGGGACATCTGTTTGTCAGGTGTAGAGGAAAAGATGAGGCATGGAGGAAGATGAACCTGGAAAGGTATGTGAGAGCCAGGGCATAAATGGTCAGGCTGCCTGGCTGTGCTGGGTTTTATTTGTAGGCAATGAGGAGGCAGTGAAGTCTGTGACAGAGAAGTGAGAAGACCAGAGCTGCTCTGCTAATTGGTTCTAAGTGAGACATAATGAGGGTGTTGGCAGTGAACATGAAAAGGAGGGGACAGGCTGGAGGGGCCCTACAGAGAGGAAATCGGTAGAACTTGACCATGAGGAGCTGAATGCTTTACAGGACAGGTTCCAGGGTCACCTGCCTCAGCATCCCCTAGAGTACAGTGCCCTCCAGCTCTGGGGTCAGCACCTCCAGGGACTGGGCCTGAGTTCTCATCATGCCTGGCACCTGAATAAGACTCCGAATGACAGAATGTGTCAGAGAACCCTTAGGTCTGACAGTGGGCAAGTGGTCAATGGAGGCACCAGTAACAGGGAGAGGGGTGTCAGGAGGAAGAGCTGGGTGAGGAAGGGGAAAATGTTGAATTCAGTTCAGTCCTAGTAGGTTAATTATAGGTATAAAGCAGACCTCAGAAGCAAAGTTTTGAGACAAGAGAGATGGTTTTATTTGTAGGCAGTGAGGAGGCAGAGATGGTGGGATTTACTTCTCAGATTATTTTTGGAGTCCATTCCATCTGGAGTGGGTTAGTCCTAGACCTTCCTATAATCAGAACCATGAACTAGATGATCTGAGGAAATCCACTTGGCCCTAAGGTACAGTGACCCACGCCAAAGGCCTCTACTGGGATAGAGATAAAGGACGTCCCCAGACTAAGGAGGAAAAAAGAGGAAGAAAATCAAATTTTGTTGGCAATTCAGACACCTGCACCCCAACACACCCGAGATATTTCTGGGGAGACAACACTCTCTAAGAATGACCCGAGATCTCTAGGGCATTTCACCATGGCAACGTGGTCAGAGCATCTGCTGTGCCCAAGAAATCCCATCATCCTTCACTCTCCTAGAATGTTCCACGCGAGCAGAAACGTGGGTGTTTGTTACTGCTGTGCCCGGAACAGTGGCTATACCACTTACAGGAGCAGAACCTGGAGCACTTCATCTGGAACCTCAGCTCTGCCACTGACTAGCTGTGAACCTCTGAACAACTTATTCCCTCTCGACTTGCTTCCTTTCCTATAAAATGGGAACAATAGGTCTTTCATAAGATGGTTGGCAGAATTAAACAAGATAATGGGAGCAATGTGCTTGGGGCATCCCCTAAAATTGCCCTGGATGTGGTCATGTGATCATGTCATGTGGTCATCATGAGACCTTTGCCTCCTCCATTCCTGTGAGGATAGAGTGTACTTGGAGGGGCACCCTAAAATTAGCTCTGTCACATCCTTTATTCTCTTTCCATCTGACCCTCTCACCACATGAAAGACATGAAAGAGGCCATAGTCGCACAGAAAACTCTGAGCTGGAAAGATCCCTCCCTCACACCATGCCGCTTCTAAGTAGCGTCCTCCCTGGTGGAGGGGCCAAACCCATTCACATGCCCATCTGCAGGGTGGAAAGAAAGGAGCCAGAGAAACCTAAAGCCTGTTCTTCACTCTGCAGAGTAAAATGAGGTCTGAGCAGTTAAGGGACTTGCTCAAGGTCACCTTGTAAGGGAGTGTCTCCCCTTTCCAGTGGGGGTCTTCCTCCATCCTGCTGCCTGAGCCCAGGAGGTGGAAGCGATCAGCTGCATCAGAAGACACAGGGGAAAGGGGGGCCACAGCACAGGGCTCTCCTGTCTTACAACAGGAGAAGGCCAGCCCAGGCAAGGTATATGACCATGGGTGGAGAGGACCCAACTGCGGCTTTCAGAAGCAGCCAAGCCCCAGTCACCTCTGTCTCACCCCATCTCTTCCCTTCTTCCAGATTCTCTAGCCCCGCATGCTTTGAGGAGACCAGCACAGAACGCACATAAGCTCAGACTGGGAGGCTGTCTAGGGAAGAAGGGTCCAGGGCAAACAGAGCCGGCAGAGGGTGTCTGCAACCTCCTAGCCACCTCCCTGGAGACAGGCTGAATAAGTAGGAACCCAGGAGAGCTGAGAGTCTGAGGACTCCCATGGTGGCAAGGCGCGCAACTTCGGGGTGGGGGGGACTCCCTGAAGAACAAAGCTCCCATGTCGGGAAATGTCCCCACATACAGAGACCAAAGAAAAGAGAGAAGAATCGCCTCTACACAGGGGACTTCCAGCTCTCCTTTGTTTATGGGGATGTTTCTGGTTCCCAGCTTCAAACTATGGCTTAGGGGGGACGTGGGTCATTTAATTAAACATTGCCAGGGCTTGGCCAAGGTTGCCTGGGAGACAGTGGTTTAAAGTTCCTACCCTGTCATGGCCTCATCAACCAGCTATATTGAGGGGAGCTCATGTCTGTGGGTGGAGAATGGAGAGAATGGGGCTCCGAGTCCAGAAACCCAGGGATCCTATTCTACTTTGACAAGCTCCGAGACAGACCCAGCATTCCTGGGATGCAGCCCAGCGCCTCCAGCACCCACTGCAGGGCTGAGCAGACAGATGCGAGCGGGAAGCACACCCGAGGGAGGCTTTGAACGATCCAGGGCAGGCTCTCTGTCTAAAATCGGCTGGACCCCAGCCACTCTTCCCTGAGCACAGGCTGCCCACAGCCTGGTGCCTGAGCTTGGGCTAGAGGGAGCACCAGGTGGTGGTCAGCCTGTCCCCAGGGAAGAGCGATCAGACCTGGGGAAGGCAGCTTCTACCTCGAACCCAATTTTCTCTAGAACTTCTCTTCTATAGAAAGGGCCCTTCAGGCCGTGACCCTTCCTAGGTACCACGTCCCTAAGCACTGATTGAACTGTGTCTCCTTTCTCAACTGTGGGACAAGGCTCGGGGCCTTTATGTCACCAGGGAAGTTTCTCCTTATTCTGCAGAGATTTAGTGTCAAATAAAAAAGCTCACACTTGCCTTTTTATTTCCAGCAGGAACTCCCTGTCAGGTGTTTTACCTCCGGGTCTCATCTCCGCGGCTCAGCTGTCCCCCTCTCCCAACACCTATCCCCAGCAGTCTGACATCTCTGCCCTCTCACCTGCACAACCTCTACCCACATTGCACAATCACATTCTCTCCCTCCCCCTCTTTCTCAATCTCCCATGTACTCCTCATTCCCTCTTCCTCTCAGTCCTCTGGGCTCCACCTCCCACCCTTTCCCACCAGAGGTTAAGTCCTCTCTCCCTCCCCGCCGCCCCCGCCCCAGATGATAACACTTCTGGAAGCCTTTCCCCAGAAAACTTCACCAGTGTCTGCAAAGTCGTTGGCAGAGAGGTTGTTGGCAGTCATGACCAGAGACACCCCTTTCCCATGACGGCCCTAATTAGCACACAGGATGCGGGGGCTTTCCAAGGGACCGAGATACCCAGCTCCTGCAGCTGTCCTCTGGCCTTCTGGGCCGCTCCCAGCCACCCCTCTAGTATCCCCCCCCCGCCCGCCCCCCCTCCCCACCTGCCTCTCCAGGCTCCTCTTCACACTTTTCACAGGCTCTGCTAGAATTCCTGAAACAACCCCCACCCTCGTGAGGAGACCAGGGGAGCCAGGCTTGTCCCAAACCATCAACGAAGCCTGGACACACCGGGCCGAGCGGAGGGACGCGGCCCTGCTCTGCCCCTCCCTCCCGGGACCCGCCACCGGGACCTCCTCCCCGACGCCTCTTGCTTTGCCCTGACGTGGGAAGGCTGGTCAGCTGGGAAGTGGGATTGTGGCCACAGTGCCAAGTAGCTTTTCACGACAAGATAGGGGTGTGGTGTGGCCTGGGAGTGCAGCGCGTCCCTCCTAGGCGACGGGTTCAGGAGGAAGCTGGAGGGCAGTTTCTGCTGAGGAATCCGCCTCCTCCTCCGCGGACAAAGGGAGCCGAGCGGCTTCCCTGCCAGGCATTCCGGAGCCCGGGCCCTCCCCCCTGCTCTCCATCTGCTCCGGCCTGTTGCTTCAGCGCTCGGAGCGCGCCAGCAGCCGCCCTCGCCGACGCCACCGCATCCGGGGGGCTTCATGCCCCCGAATCCCCCAACTCCAGTCCCCCTCCCAGGGAGCCCGGCCCTCGCCATTCCAGACTACCGCTAGAGCCCCCGGGGAATCCCTGCCTCCTTCCCCCAGTCCCCACGCCCAGCGCCCCGCGGTAGGAAGCGCCCCACCCAGGAGGGGCAGAGGCAGTGGAGCAGGTGGCGGGAGGGAGGAGTAGCCGGCCCAAGGATGCCAGGGGCGAAGCGGGGTCGGCAGGCGTGTGCGCTACGGGAGCAGGAAGCCCTTGCTGGGGGCTGGGATTGCCGGTGGGGAGGGGCGGCCCCAGAATCTCCACGGTGGGGGAGGGGGGACCTGGGCCCACCAATTGCTTAAAAAGGGGCGTAAAAGTGGAGTTGTTAGGGGCTAGGGTGCAGCTGGGTTCGCATAGCCAGGACACTGACAATAATTACATGGCCGTTTATAAGAGGACCGTGAGGAGGAAGCGCCCCCTCCACGACCACCTCTGGGTGACACCGCAGCAAGGAGGTGCGGACCGGGTGGCCCCGGTGGGCTCGCGCGGCCGCAGACCTCAGGGCAGGGCGCGGAGGTGCGCGCGAGCGGGGCGGGGGCGGCCGGCTCACCCGTGTCCTGGCGGAACTGGTTCATGGACTGCAGGTCGATGATGTAGGGCGCCAGCCGGCTGTCCACCTGGCCCAGCACTACGCTGCCCCCGGCGCGGGGCCCGGCGCGGACCACCGCCTCGATGTGGTGGCTCACGGCCGGGCTATAGGGACGCCAGCGGCCGTGCTCGTTCAGCCATTCCCAGACCACCACGGCCGAGGCCAGGAGCATGGTGAGCCCGGGGCTGCGGCGCTGCGCTCTCCCTCCCCCGGGCTCGGCGCGCCGGTCCTCCTCCGCTTCCTTCTGCGCCGCCGCCTCCGGGCCTCGACCGCGCCCCCCGCCCCGCGCCCCGCCGCCCCGGGCAGCCTCAGCTCCGGCCCATGGGCCGCTCCCCAGCCGCGCATCCACCGGGGCCCGGAGACCGGGGCCGCTCGGCTCCGACCGTGCGCCGCCGCCGGGGTCCGCCGCCGCCTCCGCTGCTGCCGCTGCTCCGTGCGGTCGGGTGGCTTCATGCAAATGTCCGGCTCTCTGCAGACAGGCCCCCGCCTTGCAAAGCTACCGGGCGGGCGCGCCGCGGGAGCCCCAGCGGCCGCGAGCTGGCGCTGACGGCGAGGCGAGGAACCAGCCCTCGCACCAGTTGCGCCTCGGGCTCTGCAGTCGCCCGGGTGGGATCTCGCCGCGCGCTCGCGCCGGGAATGACACGGTGTTCCCCTCCCCTCTTTCTCCTCCCTTCCCACCCCAGCGCCGCACGAAAGCTGTCGCCGCCTCGGCGAGAGCTCCCCCTCCCTGTGGCTCTGCTCAGTTGCTTCCAGAATGAATCGCTCCTTCCAAGCGGGGCGCCAAGGCAAACCCGTGTCTGCGGAGGTTACCCCAGTCCCTAGACGCCGAAAAGAGACCCGCCATGACACGGCCCCGATACCGCCGCCGTCGCCGGGCCACAGCTTTGCTGTGGGAGGGAGGCTTCCCTCCCAGGAATGGAATTTCTTCTTTTTTTTAAATGCAGCGTGATCAGTGTCTGCAGTGCGAGCTCTGAGACTCGAAGTGTCTCCGGCTCAGTCACGCACCCGCACACTCCAACTCGCACACGCGCGCGCCCACACCCCCGCGCCCTCCGGGTTGGGGTGGTATTACCTCATCTTCGTCGGCATCCTCAGCTGTCAGTCAAGGATGCAGAGCAGGGCTTGCAGCTCACTCGCCCCCTGCTGGCTCCGGGCGACGCGCGCCGGCCAATAGCCACACACTAGTTGATGCTCAACTCCAACCAGGACTAAGGAGACCCAGTGCCAAGGGACGCAGCAATTTGGTAAATGGTGGCTTTACATCGTCTGTGTCCATAGGTGCTTTTTCTGGCCCGTTTCGAGTTACTTAAATCAGGAAGACTCACGGTAAATTGGTTTATTTTGCAGGGTTTCCGTGACCAAAATAATGAGGCACCAAGACACACACAAGCTAGCCTTGGTTTATTTTGGTCTTAAGTAATTAATGTGGGAAGTAATCCAAAAGGGCCGACTGCCATCAGGAATATAAGATATTCTTTCCTGAGAATACAAGCTTTGTTTTGCTGAGGTTGCAACTACACGAAACAATAAATTTATATGATCAAGATCCAAGATAGAATATGGAAAAAATTAAAAATCTATGATGTATTAGGGATTGGAAGTAATCATTTTTTTGTAATATCTTACAATATTTTGGGTGGCAAGATTTGCTTTCCATACCTCGTTCTTGTGCTCTCTTGAATTACAGCCACTCTTAGTACCATTATTGGCATTTTCCATATCTTTCTCATGCTTCTCCCAGCTCCTTACAGAATTCTAACTGCAAAGCAAAAGAAAAAAATATATCATACACGCTCCTCTTTGTGCCTCCAGACGCACCAGACTCGAGCGTGCCTCAGAGCTTTGTTCTCACCAATGGCGCCCTGGCCCAGGCACCTCCCCACCACCACCTCCAGAAACTCCAGTCTCCGCTACCACCGGTCTCCCCGTCCAACTCAATCAACGTCGTTTATTAGGATATCAAATTTTAGGGTTTGAAGGACAAAAGGAAAAGGAGTAGAGCACACCTCCATTAATCCTGCCAAGAGCCATTATTATTCTGATTTCAAAATGACAGGGCTTTGGAAATTTCTGCAATGTGTCTGAGATTACATATTTAGCCAGAGGGGAAATTGGTATTCAAACCTTAGGTGAGATCCTCACCCCCCCCTTAAAAAAAAAAACAACCCAACCCCACACATATTGCAAGGGATGTGGCAATGTAAAAGTTTCTCGATGTAAAAGAAGGAAAAGAAAAAAGGAGGTTAGAGTGTGTCCTGGAAAAAAAAACAAGAATAGACTCGAAGAAAAAGTAATCTAAGTTTTATTGAGCTACTTTTACTTTTAATCATGAGACCAAGAGTGTAAAGAAACTCTGCAAAACTTCTCGTGATCCAGGTGGGTAGAGATGCAGAAACTCTCAGTGATGATGCAAGGGGAGGCTGGAAGGAACAGGTAGAAATCAACATGGGACCAGCCAAATGATGAATCCGCAGCTGGAAAAAGATGAGGGGGTATTGACAAGTGTCAGATGAGCTGTTTGGAAAGTGAATGGGAGGCAGGAAGAAAATGGCTCTTACCTATGTCCAGCCTGGTTTCGTTTCTGTTCTTCTATCTGCCACGTGAAACATGGCAGAGTATTACAAATGAACAAAAACACACGCCTAGACCCACGTGAAAGGGTATGTATATGGCCTGATTCATGTGCAAGCAGAAGTGAATATTTATTTTTTTAATATATTTTATTGATTATGCCATTCAGTTCTCCCATTCCCTCCTTCATTCCCTTCCACCTACACACCCCCTCCCACCATCCCCCCTTTAGTTTATGTCCATGTGTCACAAGTTCTTTAGATTCTATATTTCCCACACTACTCTTGCCCTCCCTGTCTATTTTCTACCTACCATCTATGCTACTTATTCTCTGTATCTTCTCCCCCCTTCTCCTTCTCCCACTCCCCTGTTGCTAACCCTCCATATGATTTTCATTTCTATGGTTATGCTCCTGATCTAGCTGTCCTTTTAGTTTGCTTTTGTTTTAGGTGTGGTTATTAATAACTGTGAGTTGCTGTCCTTTCACTGTTCATATTTTTATCTTCTTTTTCTTAGATAAGTCCCTTTAACATTGCATATAATAAGGGCTTGGTGATGATGAACTCCTTGAATTTGATCTTATCTGAGAAGCACTTTATCTGCACTTCCATTCTAAATGAAAGCTTTGCTGGATAGAGCAATCTTGGATGTAGGTCTTTGGTTTTCATGACTTGGAATACTTCTTTCCAGCCCCTTCTTGCCTGTAAGGTCTCTTTTGAGAAATCCGCTGACAATCTGATGGGAACTCCTTTGTAGGTGACTGTCCCCTTATCTCTTGTTGCTTCTAGAATTCTCTCCTTCATTTTAATCTTGGCTAATATAATGATGATGTGCCTTGGTGTGTTCCTTCTTGGGTCCACCTTCTTTGGGACTCTCTGAGCTTCCTGGATTACCTGGAAGTCTATTTCCTTTGCCAGATTGGGGAAGTTCTCCTTTATTATTTCTTCAAATAAGTCTTCCACTGGTGGCTGTTCTTCTTCCCCTTCTGGTACCCCTATAATTTGGATATTGGAAAGTTTAAAGATGTCCTGAAGGTTCCTAAGCCTCTCCTCATTTTTTTGAATTCTTGTTTCTTCATTCTTTTCTGTTTGATCCACCTCCTTCTTGTCCACTCCCTTGATTTGAGTCCCAGTTTCCTTTCCATCACTATTGGTTTCCTGTGCATTTCCCTTCATTTCACTTAGTTTAGCCTTCATTTGTTCCTCTAGTTTATGACTAAAATCAACCAGTTCTGTGAGCATCCTTATCATCAGTGTTTTGAACTGTGCATCTGATAGGTTGGCTATCTCTTGGTTGCTTAGAAGTATTGGCTATGGGGCTCTGAGTTGTTCTTGAGCCATAATGTTTTGGTCTGTTCGCATCTGTTACGTCTGAGGGGCAGAGCCTTAGGTGTTCACCAGGGCGGGTTGACCCAGTCGCTAGGTTGTGATGCTGTATGTGGGGGTGGGGTCAGAGAGGGGTAATGGCATTTGTTCCACTCTTTCTCAGATTTCAGCCCCCTCTGCTGCTTCCCGCAAGCAAACCTGGCCCTCCTGGTGCTGGCTCCTGGGTGTGTGGGCTTGTGCACCCTCCAGGACCCTATGGGTCTCTCCAAAAAATTCTCTGTGAGCCTGGGAGCTTCTCCTGCCACCTCGACCCCAAAAGTTTTTCCAATTGGTGCTTTTAGGCTTTAATTCCCATCACTGGGGCCCTAGCCTGCACGGTCTGTCTCACTGCTTGCTCCTTCACCTGGTTTATCTGTGTGTGGATGTGTGACCACAGTCAGTCAGCCGCCGTGTGCCCTCACTGGGTCCACCCGTTGCCACTCCACACCTGGGATCTGCCATCTGCCCCCTGCACACCTGGGTCAAGCCTGCTCTGCCAGCCGCTGACTCCACCCTCTTACTGGTCTGGCTGAATGGTTCATTGTTGTTGGACTTCCGTACAGTTCAATTTTCTATGTTTTGGTTGCGTTTTTGCTACTAAAACTTTGTTGTCTTTAAACTTGGTTGTGTGAGGAGGCTCAATGTTTCCACCTATGCCTCCATCTTGGCCGGAAGTCAGAAGTGAATATTTAGATGCTTGATGTCAGTAATCAATTACAGTTGTAAGATGATGTGTATTTTTGATATGCCATGATAATTTGTAATTCATAATAATCCACTTGGCAAGTATAATTTATAATTTTATGTCCATAATGATAGCACTATATTTGTATTTATGTTTCTTAGATCTTCCAAGACAATCCTAATTTCAAATAATCTGTACCATGCTTGAAAAACTTATTTCATTTTTGCATCCAAACTATATCTTCTAAATTGCCTTCTGTGCCCACCCTGTAAATGGCTTAATAATCTTTAACCACAGGATATGCCCAATTTGTAATTTGTGATGTGGCAGCTACAATAAAACCTCACTAATTAAAACTGGAATGAAGCCAGTCTGTACTGTTCAAAGCTATACTTTGATGATACTCCAAAAATTACCACCATTGGTTAACATCAAGTTTCAATGAAAAAACCAATTGCCTTCTTTTTCCATGGAACAGTCACTGATAAAAGTCATCTTTTTTTTTTTACCCCCAGTTACCTATTGCACTATATAACAAATGGCCCTAAAATTATTTGCTGAAAACAGCAATCGGCATTTACTTCTCACACGAACCTGAAGTTTGGGAAGGGCTTGCTGAGGACAGCCAGTCTCTGCGCCACGTGGAGCTCAAGGCAGCTCACAGGATG